TTATAGCGTTTTGGAAAGCTCTCGAGATGTGCTATAAGAATATGCAATGAAAAATGGGATGTTCCATTTAAAAAAATTAATGTGACCTTGACCTGACCTTCGCTACGCAACCCAAGGTCAAACTGATGTGATCATTAAATACATCTTTTTAAACGCCACAACTTTTGTCTGAAACATTTTTTTGAAAAACTTATATTTTTCCTGATATTCGGGCGTCCAGGTACTTTCCGAACACCCTATATATATATATATATATATATATATATATACATATATATACTATACATACATACATATATATACATAGAACATACAGAGAACTTTGTTAAAATTTTGTTTTCTACATCTTATCCTAATTTCAATGTATTTAAACCTATTTAAAAGGCTTATCAAAATACTAATTAGGTTTAGTAACAAGCGCAATTAGTAAGTTCTTGTATTATGGAACATACTTTTACATTGAAAAGAATGTATTAATCGGAGAATTCACTAATTACAATCAATATTAAACGTGATAAAGGACAATAAGAGTTAAAGCACAGTCCTCATAGTGCTATTTAAATTATTAAAAATAGTGACGCAATCTCAAGAGAGAAAATTTATTACTAACCAAATAATCATACGCGTTTCGGTCTCACTTTACAGACTATCTTCAGTGATTAAAATAAAGGAAACAATTTAGATTTCATGAAAATGTTAAACATAAGGTCGCAAATCGCCGGTATTACAAAAGTTGGTATTACAAAAATTGTCGCTACAAATTTTGCCTACGGAAATCGGAAGCACAAACGTAAACAAATAAAATTTGTCCTTAGGACAAAGAAACCTCTCTCTGGAAGACTGAAGGTGAAAGTCAGTAAAAAATCTTGTTATGAGATCAGTAATTCCATCGCACGTACCAAGGTACTGTGGTGTAATTATCTAATAGAAAAAACGTGTTAAAATAGAGTAATCGAACTAAGCCTCAGGAAAAAAGAAATTAAATACCTCAATAAAATAATTTTAGAGCTCCAGGAGAAGTGGTGATGTTAAGTTAATACGCGTGTACCTCCGAATGCCGCAAGCAGTACAGAATAATGTGTTTATATTTACTTAGTTCAAGATATAAACGAAAAACAGATCAAGTCAAACCAAGCAACGTATTACAACATTTACCTACATTTTTAGTATCGGTCTGAGAATTTAAACCGCGTGTCTGCATTTTGATAAGAATCATTTCAGCAATCATTCTTTTTTAAAAAAAAAAAAAACGATCTTTATGTAAAATTCTTACATTATCCCATCGAAATTTATGACCACACCTAATACGATGCTCCTGAACAACAGAGAGTTGTGATGTAAGATCCCTAGGTAAACCTTTATGCTCAGAC